CAATGAATTCCTTTTGTTTTGCATTTTGATCAAAACAAGAAAGTTATCGAAGATCGAAAAAACTATTGAACTCTTATTTCTATGTATCCGACTAAATATGAGCACAGCTCGGCATATGAAGAAAAAAAATTTATCATAATATGTTTGATCGGTGTTGATGATGAAAATTACATTGGAATACTTTAACTTACTACGACTAAATTTGAATGAATCAGAATAGCTCTCTTCGGTATTGATTCTCATAGATGAGAAATTCAAGAAGTGTAATAAACTTTTTCGTTTTTCTGGGCATAGATTGCTTTTATAATCTCGTCTCATCACGTTCAGTAAGTGCTTTTATCGAATCTTGATTAATCATAAATTTAATATTGTCTTAACTAGACAACTATCATTTTTGTAATGACTTTCTCTTTTTTTTTGGATATATGAAGAAACGACTTACTTCAAGTTTTATATAAAAATTTTAATGAAATACAGAAATAACAAACGAAAACTGAGTTAAATGTGCGATTTATAGAATGCAACAAGTATATGCTTCTTGATACGTAACTTGTCAGTTGAATTGTGTCGATACTTGTCGTTCTGATAATTAAAATTCGCGGTGTGTTTTCTAGAAAAAAATCTGAAATGTAAATGTTATGCTTATCTAACTATGCACAACAAATAGTCGATGATGCAAAAGTCCATACGCTATATAATTATAAAAAGTTACACTAAGGATCATAAATAAAATCTGATTTTCTCTTTTAAATCGAGAGAGATCTAGCAGTAGCCTCTTCAAAAATAACAATAGTTCCAGAACTGTTTTAATAATTGGAATGGATTTTCATGTGAGCATGAGCGTGGTTATTTGGAGTAGCCTCATGAGTATGCGCTTGGGTGTACTATAGATTCAAACACACTTTCTAGAATCTTTTAGACTGAAAAATCTCGTAGATATTTTCAAACTTTTCAGTTACGTTCTCTTTTATAGAAAGCAAGAATAAGCAACACGTTTTCTCTTAAGCTGTTACAGAAAAATGGAAGTGTGTAAAAGGAAAAGGAATAAAATTCAAATTTTTTCGTCGCTAACACTAATTTTCAGAAAAGATTCATAATGATTGTCATAGAAAAGCATAGACTTTTTAAGTCTCTCATGTGTATCTAACAGCTAATGAATACCGAATGTGATTCAGGTTCAGATATGAAGAGTCTTAATTGGTAAAAAAAAAACTTTATCGAGAATGGTAACTATAGATTTCTTCACAGAAAAATAAGTACCCTAGATTTAGTATCTCTTTCTGAGAAGACTTTTCTAATTACTAAATAGTTAATTATTGTAAATGTTACGCGAAATCCATTGAAAAATATTGTGAACTATCAGAAATCTTGTTCAAACTCAGAAATTACTTCTTTTTTCATTTATACCTACCGTTACTTATAGGTAAGGAATGTCAGATTACAAAAATTATTTACTCTCGATCATCGGTATATTCTTGTCTCCGATACAATATTTAATTAAGTTTTTTTTCTCGATACGGTATTTTTAGCACCCTTCTATCAATTCAGATGAAATTTACGAAATCCCTCTAGTACGTATCCGTCATTATTCATTATTTTCGGTTAAAAATCAAAAATTTCGGCAATTTTAAAATGTCAATATGCGATAAATAAAGACATACGAGCAATATTTATGTAAAAGAAGCAATAATAATAATATAAAAGTTGTAGATAGAAATGGAAGACAAGTCATAAAAAAACGATCCACACTGTAAACACAAAAGAAAATAACCGCATCTACATTTATGAGGAAAAAGGAAACAGATTATGGAAAAGAAATTAGATCCGAAAAAAACCGCTAGAGACTGTAAGAAGAGAAAAAAAATAAGTGTATGGACACTGATGAAAAAAGAAGAAGCTAATTGTAATATAAAGGGAAACAAGCTAAGAAGAAAATATATGAAGAGTTCGGAAGGAAAAAAAATATACTTATCAATAGTGGATAAAAGAGGAAAGAACTGGAATAAGATGGAATAGATAAATTCTAAAGACCGGTTTTATGTCATGTATATTATGATGGACACTGTTTTTCTTTGATATTCTATTGAAGATATTTACACATCTGTTCGAACCACATCGATTCTTTTATACATAAGAAGAGTAATGCTTGTTCGCATATAAATATTCAAAAAGACACATGATAGGAAGAAATACTGTTATCTATAGCTTCTATCAACAGTACTCTTCATGCTTACTCATATTCCATACACTATGAAAAATTACTTTGAAATATCGATCTATATTTTCAAAAAAAGATAAGTATAATTTATTATCAAATCAAGTGACAAGACTCATTACAATATTCTCAAATGACTAGTATGTCAATGGTTCGACATAGTTATGTAGATGATAACAAACATGTCAATGACATTACACACAACATGAATTGTACTTCTTTTTCTTGTCAAAAAAACACTTCTGGCGTTGCAATGTGGGTATAAGTATGGATAAACAGTATACATACCAATAATCAAAGGCATTGCTTAATGATTCAAATCTTTTATTCAATGTCTGAAACCAATGGTTCAAGAGGATTAATAGTTTCTTCAAAAGAGACTAAAGGCATTCTCTTAACACCTTGAATTGACAAAAATTTTCATTATAGTTTAGAGAAACGATAAATATGATAATGTCCATCAATATTCTTAAGTTTTTCCTTTAACGTTTAACTTAAAAAGGGAATATTCATGTCATATGGATGATCTATCAACAATATCCTTGGCTAATAACAAGATTTGTTTCGGCTATCGTTTTCAACGAAGATCGAAAACATATATGATTCAGAGCTTATTCATTGTTTGGCTAAAGACTCAAGACAGTCTTGTTGAAGAATCATTAGCATATGACATCAAAATTGAAGAATGTTGAAAATCTACCTAAAGATTTGTTTGAACATATTCTCTATAAATTTCTTGAGAAGTATATACTCATAGGTATTTGTATGAATACGAATATGTTGAATTTTCACTAGTAGCGTAAAATAAACAATGTATAAAATAGCACCAATTTCAAATTTAAGATATCCTAGCAGTTCAACAGGTTGAATATCTTTTCGTGTGTGTGAAAGAAAAATATTGTATTAATGATGAAATATCAGAATGGTTTTGCTATAACGAAATTCCAAACGGAATGTTATATTGATTTACAATGTATTGACAAACAATGTAATTCTTTTTGAACTTTCATCCCTATAGTAATTTTAATACCAAATTATTTAAGGATAAATTAAATTTTTGTTTACTTGTTGACGAAACTAAAAGATTTTGCTGGTTTGAATATTCTTTATATGTCTCTAACTTATGCTCATGGAATTATTTGGTCTATATCAGTTTGGAATTATTTTGTCATATAAATTGTACGAAGGCGAACTGTAAACTATTTGAAATTTTTATGTATCTTATAAAACATAGTTAACAAGAAAAAAAAAGTAAACAATAATCACCTGAAATAAAGTCGAAATACAATATGATAAAAAGGATCTAGATGAGGAATGTCGGAACAAAATGAACACAACAAGTATTCTATTATCCCCGCCATATTCTCATCAAACAAACAACTCATTTAATCATGAATCATGTGTTCAGAAGACAAAAAATTTAAAATGGCAACTCAGCGAATGAAAAGCACTAAATCGGTTGTGGCAGCTCTTCTTGCAGTTAATCAACTTACGAAACAGGTTAAACAACACGTGAATTAGTATTAAACTCAATAGAGATGTTTTTCTCCACAATTAATTCCAGGTGTGGGTGTGGGTGTGGGTGTGGGTGATATTCCTCTCTTTAATGAGGCCCACACCCACACCACCCACACTCCACACCCACACCCCACACCCACACCCCACACCCACACCCACATCCACACCCACACCCACATACACCCATACCCCACACCCACACTCACACTCACACCCACACACCCACACCCACACCACCCACACTTCACACCCACACCCACACCCACCCACACCAACTCACACCCCACACCCACATCCACACCCACCCACACCCACCCCCGCCTCCACCCACGCCCATACCCACACCCACCCACCCTATAGTATGCATTTTTCCGAAAGCTTCGTATCTCGGAGAGACTTTATTCAAAAGTTCTAAAATATTCTATACCAGCTAGTCTAGCTGAGGCCTTTATGTGGGCAAAGTTTCAGGTCGAAATTCAAAAACATAGCTTTGCTGTAAAAATGGGATGCGTTAGAGAAAATTCACTAAAAACTCGATATCTCGCCAGAAACACGTCAGGGGGACGAACTCTTTTTATGGTAGACATAGTTCACTAAGGTCTAGAGGATGCGCAAAGTCCCGACCCAAAAGCGAATGGGCACTTGGGAATGTTCCGTTGTTAGAAGAAGTATTAGTCTTCAGATTTTTACTCAGTTTCAATTGTATGCGTTTGTCATCAATGCATATGATTGGATTAAGTTATACGGTCAACAAAAAACGACTTTGCATCTGTCCTCATACCTATATTTATTGTTACACACCGTAAATAAGCTATAATGAATTAATCATATATTCATCGGTTAATATTTGCGTACTTAAGATTCAATCCTGTATGATTTGCGATTGGAATCAAAACTAATGAATTTTTCACATATGATTCAGACAAAATATTTGTTTATTTTCAAAGGAAGTACCTTGATAAAGTTATTTCTCAAATGAAACAGCAGAAAAGAAAACTGTCAAACTTGGTTTTGAAAAGAAGATATAATCAGATGTACATTATTCCTTCGAAAAAGACAACAATTTTTCTCTGTGAATAATTTTTTACCTTCGGCCTTGCATTTTTCTTCCATAAGTGGCACTTGCATATCTCTTCGAAATAATTGTTTTTTTTTTATTATTGCATTATGTCAAGTCGTGAATCATCCGAAAGAAAACGAAAAATATAATCTATTCATACAAGCTCATATATAAGCGTATACATTTTCTGCATCTCTCATCAATAAAATGTCGATTTGGATTTGCTTCTCGGTATTTCTTCTCGCAAGTACAATATTTACTTATGTTAATTCACAGAATGCGATACGGAAATATGTTATCCGTAAAGATTGGTTTAATCTGTTTAAAGCAGGTGAATTTTCAATATATGATACAAGTCAAAAAGGTCTCATTTATCGTATTGAATCCAATGTTGGCATATTTCTGGATAGTAAACTCATTGCTTATCCATCAAAAAAAGAAGTCGGTCGATTGCAAGTTAAACGAAATCTAAAACCGTACAGCAGAGTATTATCAATTTTGGATCCTCAAACAAATCAATGGATTGTTGGATACATGCAACGAAATACTCAAGCAATTGAATTTCATGGTACTTCATTCAATATTGACTGGAATGGTCATTATATAACAATGAAAAAAGAAACAACCTCACTGACATCGAAATTTCATGATACAAATGGACAATTATTAGCAGAGTTTAAAATACGACTTACGTCTCTTTTGTTTGGGAGAAAGAAATATGATATGGAAATATTTTCGGACAAGTATCCTGAACAAATCTATTTGTTGGCATTGATTGCTAGTGATAATGTTGTTTCAACGGAAGGATAAAGACTGATGCTAATAAACTATACAGTTACATAGATAGCTTTTCACAATTCAAATAACCGAATAAATAAATATATATATAAATAAACAGAGAAATCTAGAAATAGGAATAAAGTTAGAAATAGTAGTAATAACGATTTGTTTTCATCAGATTTATTAGTCACCATTCCAAGATGGATCATATAGCATTGTTTTCTCATTAGATATCCTTAGCATTTTGTATGTAGAATCGATTTTCACGATTGTTGACAAATATCCATAGTTTGGCAACATCAATCACTTGATTTTCAATTAGATCAACGATGAAGATGACTCACATCTCTCGCTCAAATTACTGATTTTATTGTATCTGTTAGTCTATTTCTTAGACTTGATCTCCTCTTACAACTTGGTCTTGGATCATTTTTGACAAAAAAAATGACAAATCGAAAACTATTTTTACCTCAATCAATATGAACTTACTACATAGAAATATTAAAAACTATAAATTCATCAACAGAAAATATTTTTGACACGTAAGAAGGTCAGAATCAAATGGCAAATGAGATACATCAACAGTTAATTGCATCTGATCACTTTATAGATGCTCTGCAGATTCTCGATATGACGCTAAATGAAAGTTTTTATAATATGGATTAAAAAATTAGCGAGAGATTTGTTTCCATTATCTGCATTCTATCTTAGTTAATAAACAATTAATATTCATTTCCATTATAATACTAGAAATCTATTTTGATTCGTTGTCATCTAAAGTATGTATAATAAGAAAAAACTTTGGTTAATGAATTTGAAATATATTCTACTAAACAAGAGTTGAACATAAGTAAAAAAAAAAAGAAACTTCTTTAGTGTCAATTGAGAAGATCATCACAGTAACTGAAATTCGGCTTCAAGCAATTAAATCTAACCAAACAAATCAATTAAAATCAAATCGACTACTCTTAAATAACGAAATAATCAATGATTCAATCAAATAAAATATCACCGTACATCGATCAGATCCTTTTTAAAAAGTTGGGTGTGGGTGGGTGCGGGTGTGCGATTGTGGGCTAACAAAAGTACAAGCCCTAGACACACACCCACACTC